AGGTTCAGAGACGTAACACAGCTCACCCATAACATGCTGACGGAACATCAGCAGGTTGATGGCAGAGAGCAGGAGTTAGAATCCAGTTGACTCTCCCATTCAGAAGACTCTGCAAAGTGGAAGGGAAGACTGGGTTCCCAGACCCCGGGCACTGCAAGTGGCAAGCCTCCCCACCATCAGCACCCTGAAGGTCTGAGAAAGCCAGAGCCAGGAACCTGGGCTCACAAATGTAGTTACCATAGGACCCAGCAATTCCACTCCTAGGTATATACCCAAGAGAACTGAAAACATGCCCACCCAACAAGTTCTACGTGAATGTTTACAGCAGCATTATTCACAATAGCCAAAAAGTGGAAACAACCCAAGTGTCCATCAATTGATCACTGGATAAATAAAATGTGATACACCCATACAATGGACTATTACTCAGCCACAAAAAGAAATGAAGTGCTGATATAGGCTACACCATGGATAAAACTTGAAAACACTATGCTCAGTGCAAGAAGCCAGTCGCAAAAGACCACGTGTCGTATGTGAAATGTGCGGAATAGACAAACATATGGAGACAGAAAATGGATGGGTGGTTGCCTGGGGCTGAGGGGATGGAGGGCTCGTGGGGGCTGGGGGAGGGGAAGGGGGTTGACACCTAAAGGGTACGGGGTTTCTTTTTGGAGTGGTTAAATGTTCTCAAAGTAAGTGTGGTGATGGATGCACAACTCTGTTCTAAAAGCCATTGAATTATCTACTTTAAAAAAGTGAATTGTAACATATGTGAATTATATCTTAACAAAGCTATTTTTAAAAATAATTAATAATGTTGGGGGGTAAAGAAGGCTGAGACCTGGAATCACAGACTTGATTCTGATTCGGGAGGTCTGCCTGGATGTGCTGGGCGACGTTGGGTAAATCTCTTCCCTCTCTGGGCCTTAGTTGCCCCTGCGTCACCTGGGAGAGGAGAGAGTAGGAGCAGAGGAGTCATGAAGTGCCATTGAGCTGGACGTGTTATCACACTGTTCACAACAACTGTCCAAGATCATGTCTGCTCATTGCCCACCCTGTGAGGTGGCAGTGGGGAGGGGGGAGTGTATTACAGGGGCTGGCAAACCCTTAACCATTCACCGAGATCTTTGCAGATCATCTGGGCTCGCCAGCGGCATTTCATCAATATCTATCAATATCCTTTAAAGATGGCAGAGGAGCTGCTTCTCCAAACATGGCTCCCGGCCACTGCTCTGGGTCAGGACGGACACCAGAGGCTTGGAGGGAAATCCCAGGTTCTCTCCATGCCATTAGTCAGTCCCGACTACATGCCAGCTCCTTCCAAAGTCATCATGGAGTAGACAGACAGAAAGACAGAAGGACCGAGGAGAAATACCACCCAGGCCAGTTGAGATAAATCTGCCTTCACTTGGTAAGTGAACCCCTCTTACAGATGGGAAAACTGAGGCACAGGTGGGTCAAGGCCTTGCCCACGGTCCCAGAGCCAACGACTAAAGCCCAGCCTGTCCTCTTTCCACTCTTTCTGAACAAACCTAAGTGCCTACTATGTGCTCAGCCTCTGGTGCTCATCAGAAGGGATGAGAGGTACCCTGGGACCAAGGGTGGGCAGCCCACCCAGGAGTCCTGGGCATGTGTCCCATCCCCCCACTTTCTCATGCTGTGTGACTTTGAGGAGCCACTTACCCCTTCCAGACCTCTGTTGCACTGGGGCTCCCAATCTCGGCCCTGTTACCGAACCCAGAGATGTGGTTACAGAAGGGAACAGGCCTAGTAAACTGTAAAGGCCTGGGGGACACAGAAGCCAACAGAAACTCTGGCCCCAATCTGAGAAAGGTGAGATGAGGGTAGGCGGCCAAGGCTCATGTATTCAGTCAGTGCCTGCTCCAGGTGAGCAAGGGGATCACTGCCTGCACGGAATGATGAAGACAGACCAGGGTATGGCTGTGGCTTGGACACACCTGGACGGATGTGAGATCCGTTGAGGACAGTCAGTCACTCAACATCTTCTTTGCTCCTGCTATGTGGGCATAGCAGGGGCCACATTCGGCCTGGGGATACAGCGGGCACCACGGCAAATGTGTCCTGCAGAGCACTCAAGCAGATCATCAGTGTGAGGTGAGATGTGCCAGAAGGAGAGAACCAAGGCTCATGACGATGGGGGCCATCATGACAATCTTATGGAGAAGGGTGCCAAGCACCCTTTCAACTGCGTTATGTGCATTAACTTGCTGGGTCCTCACAATGCCCCACCACGTGGGAGCTAGCATGGCCTACTTCACTCTACAGGTGAGGAAACTGAAGCCCAGAGAGGTTGAATGACGTGTCCAAGGTCACACAGCTAGAAGATGGTGGAGTCAAGAGGTCAACCCAGGCAGGCTGGGTCCACAGTGACTGCTGCTCTGTCATCATCTGTCTCAGGACGTGGCCTTACAAAATGAAGGCAGAGAAGGCCTTCTGAGAAGCTGACGTGGAAGCTGAGACCCTAAAGAGTAGGAGATGGGAAGGGGCCAGAGGTCCCTTCCCGGGAAGCTGGTGACGCCTGAGCTCTGAGCCCCTCGTTCACGGGGGCCTGTTCACCAAAAGCAGCTGTTGAGCACTGCAGGCGGCGAGGGGAGCCAGGTTGCTATCAGGAAGCACTTCCATGTAAGCATTTCTGGGAAACAGCCTCAAAAAAATCTCACAAGAAAGGAATCTGAAGCTTGAAAGTCTCCAGAAATTTGTTATGATTTCTTTTCACATTCTTAATAAATATTCACTTTTGTACCCAATGTTACATTCAAAATTCTATCTTATATTTTTTCTCTTAAAGATAGTCCCCTGGGGCACCTGGGTGGCTCAGTCCATTGGGTGTCCGCCTTCGGCTCAGGTCATGATCCCAGGGTCCTGGGATTGAGCCCCACGTCGGGCTTCCTGCTCAGCAGAGAGTCTGTTTCTCCCTCTCCCTCTGCTCTGCTCATGCTCTCTCTCACTCTCCTTCTCTCTCTCAGATAAATAAATCAAAATCTTTAGAAAAAAAAAAGATAGTCCCCTAAAATCAAAATTAAGACCACAATGTGATAACACAGCCTACTCACCAGAATGGCTAAAATGAAAGAGGCTGTATATATATAATCTCTCTTTCTGTCTATATCACACACACACACAAAGTGTCCATGAAGATCTGGAACAAGAACTTTCCTATGTGGCCAGGAGAGGAGTGTAAATTGGCAGGACCACTTTGGAAAATGATTTGTGGTATCTTCTAAAGCCAAACGTTCACTTGTCCCGATGGGGTGGCAATTCTTCTCACGGATGTCTACCCAACAGAAATGAGTCCATGTATCCTCCAAAAGACATGGGCAAGAATGGCTTTTTTTCGTCATATCCCAAAGCTGAAAACAACCTAGAGGCCCAAACCCAGTGGGAGAGGCATCTAAAGGGCAGTGCAGGGGCTCTAAGCACCCGCACAGGGATGAGAAAAGACAACGTCTGGCTCCAGGCAACAGCTTGCCTGACTCTCACAGACGTGTTAAGCAAAAGATGCCCGACAAAAGGTACACACCGAATGATTTCATTCATGTGAAGTGCAACGCCAGGCAAAACTCCTCTGTAACGTAAGAAGTGGTTGCCATTGGGTGATGGGTGATAAACTAGAAGGGGCCCCAGGGGCAGGTGTCTGGGCGCCCGTAACGGTCTGATTCTTGACTGTGGTGTCGGTTTACGCAGACGTGTTCGGTTTGGTGGAATTCATAGGGTTCTACACTTAGTATGTGGAACTTCTCTCTATATATGTATGTCATATTTAATGACACACACACCCCCCGCCCACACACACACAATGGTAAAAACTTCAAGGCCCTTAAAACTTGCACTTGCCGTCGAGACCAGAGAAGGAATTTATCCTCTGGCAGCCACTGCCACTGGAGGGTTGTGGGCAGCGGGTGATAATGACCTCCTGGATTCTTTAGGAAGCTCCCTCCAGCTGCCTGGGAGGGAGTGGGAGCACCAGGGTGAAGACGGAGTGGGGGATGTGGAGTGGCCCAGGGCAGGGGGATGAGTCTTCCTTGGTGGGACCTCAAGGGCAAGACAGGCATTGGGGAAGTGGAGGGATTGTTTGGGCAAAGAGGAGATGGGACTTGAACAGGGACAACCAGTGTGGGAAGCTGAGGGGAAGAAGGAGGTCTGGTCTCTGATGACTTCACAAATAACCAGGTATCCTGGCACCACCAGGCCAGGCTCTACCTGGAAGCCACCAAATCCCCCTTCATTCCTTCCCAGGCCTGGCCAGCCCAGCTCACGCAAGCTCTAAGGAGCCCACAGCCAGCTCTTGGCAGCCACTCACACCCTCACAGCCCTGAGAGTTTGTCTCTCTTCAGTCATGACTCTGGTTTTTCTTTCTCTTTCTCTCTTTTTTTTTTTTTTTCCTATTTTTTTGATCCAAGCCTGCATGAGGGCCTCCTTGGGGCAGACCTCAAGCTTGACAATATTTTATCTCATGTCATCAAGGTCCCTGCTGGCCCTGGTGAAGTGGGTGGCACTAACCCATTTTATGGATGAGGATAGTGAGGCTTGATGAGGTGAAGTGACTTGGGGCCAAGATCACCCACCCAATAAGGAGCAGAGCTAGATTTTACAATGATGCCAATAGCAGCTGCCATCTCTTAGTGCTAAGTGGGGCCAGACCTATGCCAAGCACTGTGCATGCATTCACTCATCCAGTCCCCACAATGACACAGTGGAGGAAGCAGCAATTATGATCAGCCCCTTAAAAAACTTGTTTATGGAAATCTTGCATACATGTGCAGAAAAGTGCACAAACTAATAGCCTGGTGGGTTTCCACAAACTGAACCACCCAGGGGACCAGCACCTAGGTGAACAAAATAGAACGACTGATACAACACCAAAAACACAAGTGCTAAAAGAGAAAACTGATAAATTGGACTTCATAAACACTTAATACTTTGGTGTTTCAAAGGATACCAGCAAGAAGGTGAAAAGACAACATGTAAGTTGGGGAAAATATTTGAAATCGTGTAACTCATGAGAGTCTTGTAGCCAGAATATATAAAGAACTCTTGGAACTCAACAATAAAATGTCAAAGAACCCAATTTAAGAAGAGGCAAAGGATTTAAATAGGCATTTCTCAGAAGATCTACAAATGGCCAATAAGCACATGAAGAGAGGCTCGACATCATTAACCATTGGGAATCGAAAATCAAAATCACAAGCTGCCACTTCACACCCACCAGATGGCTGTGATCAACAAGACAGATGTGAGAGAGGATGTAGAGAAATTGGAGTTCTCATAGGTGCCTGCTGGAAATGAGGTGGTGCAGCTACCTTGGAAAACAGTTTGCCAGTTCCTCAAAAGGTTAAACATAGTTACCATTTGACTCATCCATTCCACTCTTAGTGGAATCAGAAAATAAAAACATACCTGCACACAAAAGTTGAACACAGATACTCAGGGCGGCATTATTCACAGTAGTTAAAAAGTGGAAATAACCTAAATGTCCATCAACTCACAAATGGATAATAAAATGTGGGGCATTCATATAATGGAATATTATTCCGCAACGAAAGAGAACATGGTGCTGATTCATGCTACAACGTGGATGAGCCTGGTAAACTTTAGGCCTACATGAAAGAAGCCAGTCATAAGAGATTATATATTGGATGATTCCATTTATACGAAATGTCCAGAATAGACAAATAGAAAGTAGATCAGTGGTTGTCTAGGGCCACGGGGTAGGCCAGGGAGGGGGTGGGGTCAAGAGGATAGGGAGTGACTGCTAATGAGTACTTTCTTTTTGGAGATGATGAAAATGTTCTAAAATTAGGTTATGGTGATGGTTGTGTAACTCTTAGATACACTTTAAAACCACTGAATTGTACATTTTAAGTGGATGAACTTTCTGGTATATAAATTATATCTCCATAAACATAAAAAGATATTCCATGCCTTCATGCTGCTCCCATGCCTGAATTGTTCTTACCTTCTTCTATTTCTCTGAACGTCCAAAAATAACTGGTTTCCAAGGCCCAATTCAAATGCCATTCCAAAGATTGCCTGGATCCATTCCCATCAGACATAATTTCTCTCTCCTCGGAACTCTTGTGGCAATTCACATCATTCACTCAGCGATGATTTATAAAGGTACGTATCAGATGTCTGGCACTTACTACATTCCACGTGATTTTTGAAGTACCCATGTCATCTCTGCTACTATACTGTAACCTTTTGGAGAGAGGAGACTGTATCTTGTTCTCTTCTATGAACTCAGGACCCAGCTACATGACCAGCACACATGGAAGGTATGTGGAATTCATTCTAAATTTCCCTTTCCTCCCATCACCCCTCCCACTAGGAAACATAAGGATATAACATGGTGGAAAGTAAAAGGATGGAATAAAATACAGCTTGCAAAAGAACTGTGGCATGACTATATTAATAGAAAACAAAAGAAGTTTTGTCATTGAAAGTATTACCAGAGATAAGAAGGGCACCATATGATAAAAAATGTTTCAGTAAACTATTTTAATTTTATAAACACCTAATGGCATAGTTCAAAATGGACAAAAGAGAAATTGACAGAACTATTAGAAATACTCAAATCCAAATCAGAATGTTAGATTCAATATATCTCTCTCAGAATTTGGCCGGACATGGAGGCAAAAAGTCAGTATAGGGATAGGTTATGCAACGGTGACCAAAAAAAAAAAAATCCCAAAGTCTTGGTGGCTTAATACAACAAAGGTTTATTTTTTACTCACACAAAGTGCAGTGGTCAGGCAATTCTTAGGGAAGTTCTCCTCCACGCAGTGACCCAGGGATCCAGGCGTCTCTCACCACATGGCTCTGTCATCTCAGTGTGCTTCTAAAGAAGAAAAAATGTGGAGGTAGCACACATTCTTAGGTGCCTTGGCCCAGAAGGTAAACATATTTCCATTCACATCTCTTTAGCTGGAACTGGTCACATGGCCTCTCTTGTCTCCAAGGGTATGGAAAAATGTAGTCTGCCTATATCCACCCTCAAAAGAGAAGAATCAGGTAGGAATGAGCATTAATAGTCTTTACTCAAAGGACTTAAATAAATGACACATACAGATAACTGCATCCAACACCTTATTTTCAAATACATAAGACAATTTACAAAATTTGACTATGAACTGAGCTATAAAGCCAGTCTCACCAGATTTCAAAGAACTAAAACCACACAGAGCATATTATCTAAACTGCTATTCCTTATAATGAAGGTATAAATCAATAATGAGATAATTAGAAATTTTCCATGGGCTAGGAAATTTAAAAACACACTTCTAAATAACCCATGGGTTAAAAGAAGAACTGATAAAGGAAGCTAGAAAATATTTTTGATCAATTGATAATGAAGAAAATTCATATCAAAATTTGTAGGTGTGGGTAAATCAGTATGTAGAGGGAAATTTATAGTCTTAAGTGCATATGTCAGAGAAGAAGCTGAAAACTGATCAACATTCATGCCAAAATATTGGAAAAAGAATATCAAAACAAATCTAGGGCGCCTGGGTGGCTCAGTCATTAAGCGTCTGCCTTCGGCTCAGGTCATGATCCCAGGGTCCTGGAATCGAGCCCCGAATCGGGCTCCCTGCTCTGCAGGAAGCCTGCTTCTCCCTCTCCCACTCCCCCTGCTTGTGTTCTTGCTCTCGCTATGTCTCTCTCTGTCAAAAAAAATAAATAAAATCTTTAAAAAAAAAAAAAACAAATCTAATAAAAATAGGAAAAAGTAAATGATGAAGGCAAGAACCGAAATTAATAAAATAAGAAAGCAAAAGTTAAAACAGAGCTACTCCAACAAAGCCAAAGTTGGTTCTTTAAAAAGACGATTTGACAAACCCCTGAATGAAACTGATCTAGAGAAAAACATAAATGGCTCCCCAAAACCCCAATATTAGGACTAAAAAGTGAGACATCACTACAGATACTGTCACGATTAAAGGAAAAAAGAGAATGTTTTGAGCAACTTTGAGTCAATACATTTGAAAACTTAAATGAAATGGACAACATCCTAGAAAGGCAAAATATACCAATTTTGACTTGAGACAAAATAGGAAGCCTACATAATCCTCTAACAATTAAGGATATTGAATCAGTTGTTAAAACCCTTTTCCATACAGAAAACTTCAGCTCTAGATGGCTTCACTGACAAGTTCTATCCAACATTCAAAGAAGAAACTATTTTTGTCTTTGACAATCTCTTCCAGAGAGTAGAAAAAGAGTGAGTAATCTCCAGTTCACTTTATGAGGCTAACATAACCTGCATATCAAAACAGGACAAAGATATGGCAAGAAAAGAAAATTACAGGCCAATTTTACTCGTAAATAGAAATGAAAAATCACGGATAAAGGGTTAGCCACAAAAATCCATCAGTACACAAAATGATACCACAACTGAAATGGACTAATCCCAGGAACACAAGGTCAGTTTAACATTAGGAAATCCATTAAGGTTGGGGTACCTGGGTGGCTCAGTCAGTTAAGTGGCTGACTCTTGATTTCAGGTCAGGTCATGAATCTCAGAGTGATGAGATTCTCTCTCCCTCTGCCCCTCCATTCCCCACTTGTGCTCTCTCTCTCTCTCTAAAAAAAGAAAAAGAACAAGAACAAGAAAGTCCATTAAATGAAATGAAATTCAGGTTAATTCAGCACATAAACTAATTAAGGGACAAAACCTACATGCAGAAAACCATTTGATAAAAATTTAACACTTATTCATGATCTAAAACTAATAAAAAATAATCTAGGAAATTATGAACAGAAGGGAATTTCCATAATTTGATAAAGACATGTCTGCAGCTAACATGGTAAAATATTGCAAGTTTTCCCTTTGGAGATCAGAGACAAGTCAAGGATGCCCACTGCACCCATTTACTCATTTACTGATGGTCTTAGCCAGGGCAGTAAGGCAAGAAAAAGAAATGAAAGAAGTAAGATTTGGAGAAAAAACAAAACCATCATCTTTCCAAAGTAACATAATTATGTATAGAGAAACCTCAAAATAGGCAACTATGTCATTTAAATTGACAAGAAAATTTAGCATTTTTATTGGATTCAAAATAAACATATTAAAAGTATGCTTTTATGTAACAACCCACTGAATTATTGAATGAAGCTGTTGGGGGAAGGTTTGTATTTGCAGGGTGAGAAGCTCTTCTGAGCACTGAGAGCTGAACAGTCTACTCCGTATGGGCATGTGAGCTCCCCCTTACCGGAAGGGTTTAAGCAGGAACACGATGGGCTGTGTCCAGGGGTGCTGGGAAAGAACCTGGGCTCAGAGTGAGAGGTTTGTCCCTTGCCAGGCTGGGCCTCAGCTCTCTAAACAGTCAGTCCTGGAAGGCGGCCTATCTTCTTTCTTTTGGCTCCTCTCTATGTCAGCTTAATCCCTTTGGTAAATTGGGTAAAATGAGCCAGGATTTACGGCTCCAGGAAATATGTGAAGAAGTTTCTAATCTTATCGCTGTCCACTCCACCCTTCCAAGGCTCTGCTCTCAGAGAAAACCCACAACGGTTATTTCTCATCCTCTTTCCCCTGCCCCTACTGCACCAGACTTATCTTCCTACTTCAAGTTCTCAGTTCAGAACACACATTCTGAAACACTATGCTACCTGGTTTGTGAAATGGAATTTTACATGGTCCCTTGATGGCACAACCCGGAAGAGGAGAGCTGCTTTTGCTGGAGTTGGATGGGGCCCTGCCTCCTTGGCTCTCCCACCGTATTCCCTGAACCAGCTCCCTCAACCACTGAGGCACCAAATCCCTCCTCACCACAGAGCCACCAAGGAGACACAGTGGTTAAGCACACACTTTGGAGTCAGATGGTCTTGTGCTTTTCAGCTACGTGACCTTAGACCTTGGTTCTCTCACCTGCAAAGGGGCAGAGCTCATAGGCATTCCCACTTTGGCAGGGTTACTGCAAGGGTGAAACGAGGTGATGAGTAGAAGGGCTCATCACCCAGGAGGTGCTCCATACTCCTGTGTGGTTACTGGCAGTCTCCGGGGCTTGGGGAAGCCCCTCAGCACCTCTCTCAGGACCCAACACTGCAGACCCGGGGCCATGAGCTCCGCGAGGCAGCACATTGCAGGAGTGGAGGCCGTGTCCCCCCGCTGGGGACACGGCCATAAGGTCCCACTGGCTCTACTTGCAGCTGGCCCATCATGGGCAGATGCAGGGAAGCGAGGCTGTTGATAAATCTGTCCGTTTCCAGGATGCCTCCCCTCTAGGGTCCCTGCTCTGACAGACACGGCAGGAGGGCTACGGCCCAGCTGGCTACAGACCCAAATGTTGGCTGAGCCACTAGATAACTCTGTAATGAACTGTCCCTCAGGCTGGAGGCTTTAACCTTGCTGCTGGCCTGGAGGCCTGGGCTCTGTGGTTAACCCTTCCCTTCCCAGCCTTAGGGAAGCTGAGGGTGCAGCCTGTGTCAGGGAGAGCTGTATTGATTACCTACGGCTGCCTAACTAATGACCCCGAAATTCAGCAGCTGGAAATAAAACCTGATTATTAACTCTCAGTTTCTGTGGGTCAGGAATCTGCAAGTGGCTGAACGGGGTGGTTCTGACTCAAGATTTTCCATGAGGCAGCCATCGAGGTGTCAGCCTTGGTGGTGGTGATCTCAAGACTTGACTGGGGGTGGTGATCAGATTCCAAACTCACTTAGGCAGCTGTTGGCAGGCCTCCAAAGATCCACTTCCACATGCACTAGAGTGGGCCTCCCCCCAGCACGAGCCATGGAGAGACCGAGAGAGTGCCAAACAGAGGTCACCGTCCTTTTATAACCCAACCTCTTCACCCGTCACCTCTGACATAGTCTTTTAGTGGTACGTCACTAAATGCAGCCCACAATCGAGAGGGAAAAGCACAGAGTTGTGAAAAACCAGAAGTGGGGGGTCCCTGACAACCATCAGGGGCTGCTGCTTGGAAATGCCCATAGATCTGAGGCCCGCTCGCCTTCAGGTGCCCCTGCTCAGACCACCGGGAGTTGGCCCCAACTCCTCCTTCATCTTTCACCAAGCCCCGAGAACTCAGAATCCTAAAGTGCCCTCAAGTCTGACCTCTCCCTCTCTCATGGCTGTCATGGTTCCAGGAGGGCCCCTGTCGTGTCTCCCCAGGATGTTGTCACTCCGTCACCACCTCCTCACTGGTCCCTTGAATCTCTTCTGCTTCCCTAGGTCCCCACTCATCCCTTCCACCATTCCCTGTCTCTTCCCAACAGTACTCAGAGAAGTCTTTTCAAAACACAGATTGGACCCTGTCTTTCCTTGCTGGAAATCCTCCAGAGGCTTCCCCACATGCTCAGCACCAGGATCCAAGTTTCTCTAAGGATGACAAGACTCTGCAGGGTCTGGCTCGGCCCGAACCTCGACAGCCTCAGCTCACACAGTGCTGGCTCCTTTCAGTGCCTCTGGTCACAGGCTTTGCACATGCTGTTCCTCTTCTAGCAGCTCTTTTTCTTGTCCCCTTCACCTTGTTCTCCCCTCAGCATCCTTTGGATCTCAGCTCGAGTCACTTCCTCAAAGAAGCTGTCGCCATCCCACCCCGACTAGGTTCTAGTCTCCCGTTGAAAACTTGTGTTCTTATGGTACTCTGCCAGTTATGCTGTTCCCTTACCTGACTGGTAATTATCTGGCCCCCAAGACGGTAGGCAGCACGGGGGCAGGTTTTGCTGGCTGCATCCATTGTGCCTGTCACCAGTGGGTGCTAAAGAAAGAGCTGTTGGATTTAAAAAAAAAATTAAACTCTTTGTGCAGATGATAAAACTATGACTTTTCGACATAATTGGTTAGAATCGTAGAACTCCAGGGCTCAGAAACCGGCCAGCCAACCTCCTCATTTTGAAAGAGGAAACTGAGGCTCAGAGACAGGGAAGGTCTCCTCAGGTCAGAGTGAGTGAGAGCAGAGAGCAGAAGCCAGGCCTCTGGTGTGACCCTCCACCTGCTGTTCTCCATCTGTCATGGAAGCCCCACGTGCCTTCTATCACAACCTAAACTCACCACTGGTGCTTCACGAATACCAACCCATCACCTCCATCAGCCCTAAGCCCTTGGCACAAAGACTCTGGAAGGCGCTGGCAAAGCCTCCTCTCTGGTAAATTCTTTTCTTAGCTTTGGAACTCCTTCGAGATGTACAACCAGTCCCGAGGATAGCCATTTCACCCCAAATGAACCGCAAGCCCTACTTTTGACGATTCTCCTTCTGGGTTCCTCCGAGGAACCCGAGACCATTTGAACTATCAGGGACCTGAGATGTTCTGGGCCAATTCCAGAAGGGGAAACTGAGGCCAGAGAAGGCCCAAGACTTTCCCAAGGTCACACAGGGCAGCAGCAGCAGGGCTGGGACCAGAACCTGGGCCTCCTCGCTCTCAGGCCAGCGCTCCTGTCTCCACAGTGGGATCAACCTGAACGCACCGGCAGGCTCTGACCTCACACCTACAGATGCCTCTTAGAACAAGGATTCTTTCTCGGCCTGCGGTCGGCCCTGCAGACTCCTGTCACCGCTCTTTAGCAAGAATAACTCTCTATTCGCAAAAGTGGCAAACACACTGGCATTCTAAAACAATCAAACATTCTAAAACAAAATGATATCGCAAACAAACCAGTATGGCAAAAATGAAACACACTGGCATTAAAAAAAATGAGTTGCCATCATTTAAAAATGGAGAGATTTTTACAGACAAATCCAGGTTTCCACCTTCTCTTAGAAAAACCAGACAATCTGGCCATCGTGGTGGCACTGCCTCTCAGCCTGCTGACACCTGGCCCCGCTGCCTAGCGGTGATCACACACGCCCCTGTCCACGGCTGGCCACACTTCTTCCCTCCCACTGCCCTCCCAGGGCTTGAATGCATTCAAGTTTACTGCCTTTCTTCTGCTGGGTTCGAGAACCCTCTCTGTGAGCATGGCCCACATAAGTGGTCACATAGGCACTGTTTGATGCCTCTGGGGACAGAGGGGTCACTACCAATCTGTTGCACGGCTGGTCGAAAAGCCGTAGTGGGAGCCAGAGCTTGACTTGAACCATGGCTTATTTGAATCCATGTTTAACAGGTCACGCTATAATTTAATACCAGAGCCTAATAAACTTTTAAGTGCCTCATGACCAGGATTCTCCATGCTCGTTTTGGCGGAGGCACATACGAAAGCCACTCTTCGGAATGACTTCACAGACTTCCAGGCCTTTGAAATGAAGTCCAGATGCCACTGGATTATGGGCAAACGCAGAGCCAGGTCTGAATGTCCCTTTTGAAATTTCAAGGGCAGCCACTGGCAATATCAAAAGAGGGTTTGAAGATCCATCTTTGGGTTCTTGAGCAATGACAGCTCTCAGACAAAGTGCCTTTCCATGACCTTGCCAGGAGCTGAAACTACCACCCCCATGTTTCCTAATCCATGGAGGAGGGGGGAGGGGCTTCTTACAGCAATGTCAGGCCACTGAGCACTTCATTAGGAGGCAGCCCAGGGAATCTGGGCAGATGCTCTTTATAGAGTTCTTGGCAAGCTTCAAATTTTGGAACTTTAGAATAGCACACTTATCAGGGCGCCTGGGTGGCTCAGATGGTTAAGCGTCTGCCTTCGGCTCAGGTCATGATCCCAGGGTCCTGGGATCTAGCCCCACATCGGGCTCCCTGCTCCTTGGGAGCCTGCTTCTACCTCTGCCTCTCTCTCTCTGTCTCTCATGAATAAATAAATAAAAATCTTTAAAAAAAAAAAAAAGAATAGCACACTTATCAGTAGTCAAATCTCAAAGCCAACAGAAATACTAGAGTCCGGGACTATTAGATTGGGGAGGGGCCGTATATGTCTCATCTCCAACTACTCTTTACCTTCCTTGAGAAGCTCCCGACAGAACCCCAGACAAGAAGGGTCAGCCAGCCTTGGTGGGGCAACCAGTCTTCCTGATGATGGGTCAGAAGTTCTCTTCACTGAAACGTCCATCTCTTGTCGCCGGTTTTATCCTGAAAGTAAGAACCATTTTTATGCCTGTATTCATCTACAGCCCTTGAGGACCACCACGCTTGCCCTCCCCCTATCTGCAAGCTAAATCGTCCTAGGTCATCCACTCCTCCCTGGGAGGTTGAGGCCTGCCCCGCCCTCCTGCAGTTGACCAGTGTCCCCCCTTGGCATCTTTTCACAACAGCTGGGGCTTTATGAGGGTGCAGTTCTTGCTCCAGGACCTCCAGAAAGAAGAAAGGCTGAGTCCAGCTGTGCCACATCCCAGCCTCGCAGGCCCAGAGTTTGTACAGACTGTTTCATATCAGCACACAGCTTTTATTTATTTAACACATACTCCTCTCGCTTGGCTGACTTTAGCAATATCGATTCATTAAACTGCCATAAACATCTGAGATAGAGTCTGTTATCGTCCAGAGGATACAGATGATGAAATCAAGATATCAAGATGCAGGGAAGTGAAGTCACCCGGTAAGGGCGCCAGTGAAGTGAGGAGACTGGGCCTCGAACTCAGACCACTGGAGCCAGGAGCTGGTGCGGACGGCTACCCCGTGCTGCCTTCCTTCCATGGGGCTGTCATGTCGAACGTGGGGATGAAGGCCTCTGCGGAGAACTGCAAATACCGTCTTCCTGTTAAGTCAGACTCACCCCGAGATGTGAAGTGATTTGTCTCAAGTCACTCCGTTCTGCAGTGATGGAGTTGGGGTTTCAACCGGGTTCCAAAGTCAGGGCTCCTTGCTCCAGCCTAGAGCACGCTGAGTGGACTAATCAGGTTTAGCTGAAGTGGAATCCTCCAAGGTAACAATACTACAAGGAACCTGTCGAGGAAAGTGAAATGCATTCTAACCTGGCTTCAAGTCCACACACATCTCCGAGAGGCCACAGTAACCCAGTGAGCCCCTGGGCCAGGGACAGGAGGAACACCCAACACAGGCCTCTGATATTTTGAAAGAGTACATTTTAGGAATTACAGGGAGACCTCATTAATTCATAACCCAACAATCTGGAAAGTCATCACGCTCCATGCTGGGCTCATGCACACATTACATCAATCCAGAGATGGCATAAAGGACCCTCATAGCCAGTGCTGGGCAGGTCACCTTGTCTGGAAGAATCTTTCCCCCTCCAGTGGGCTTGATGTATACTTGTTTGTTCTGCAGAAGCATGCGCATCATATGGCAGGCACCTGGCTGCTATCTGCTCCCGGTGGGAGGGAACAGGGTCCTCGGCCTGCAGCACAAGAGGGGCAGATAAGACCGTCCCCGTTTTGGCTGCGGGATGAGAACCTTGGGCCGTGGGGCACTGATGCTCACTATTGTCTTACACTGTTGCTTTGTTGTATGTTATAAACCCCAAATACATTATTATCTCTGTCGCAACAATTCTCTTTTAGAGATATTTAAATAAAAAGAAAACATGATATACTTCCCCATGCAGTTTTCAGTGTTCTGCCCTCCTTTCTGGAGATCCAGATTTCCATCGGATATCATTTGTCTTCTGTCCGAGGTTGCCGACTAGTGGTGATTAATTCTTTCAGCTTTTGTTGCACTGAACAACTTGCTTTTATTTTTATTTATTTATTGTTTACTTATTTTCAAAGACTTTTTTGCTAGGTTGACAGATCTCCCCCCACACCCCTTCAACACCTGTGGGATGTCATGGGTGTTCTCTTCCGGCTCTCGTAACGTCTGAGGATAAGTCGCTGTCACTCTGATCTTCGTTACTCTGTGTATTTCTTTTTTTTTTTTATCACTGGCCCAGCACCTTGGCTATGATGTGTGTTAGCCCGTGCAGCTTCTTCAGGGTTGTTTTTCTTGAGGTGCTGAGCTTCTTGGATCAATGGCTTTATAATTTTCATCATAGTTGGGGAATGGCCCTTATTCCTTCAGATATGTTTTCTCTTCCCTCTTTCCTTTCCTTCTGATACATATTTTTGGCAGTCGGTGTTGTCCCACAGGCTGCTCTGTTTCTTTCTTTTCTGGTATTTCCTCTCTGTGCTTCATTCTGAATAATTTCCATTTCTGTGCCTTTAATTTCACTCACACTTTTCTTCTGCAGTGTCCAATCGGTGGTTAATCCCACCCTGGTTAGTTTAGTTTCAAATACTGCATTTTCATCTCTGGAAATTTGACTTGTATTTTAAAAAATATATGTCCTATGTCTTTCCTCATTATGTTCATATTCTCTTTTATATCCTTGAGCATTTATCATGTCAACAACAGCTGTTTCAGATCTTTGTCAACCAATTCCATCCGTCTGTGCCATTCTGGATCTATTGGTTTATTTTTCTTCTGACTCCGATAGTATTTTTTCTGCTTCTTTGCATGTGTGATTTTTTTTTTTTTTTTTTTTTTTGGATGCCAAAGAGTAAATTTTACACTGTTGATTGCTAGGTTTTATTGTACGTCTTTAAACAGAGCTGGACTTTGTTTTGCCAAGCAGTTCAGTTACAGACCAGCTTGAGGCTTACTATCAAGTTTTATTTATGGCTGGCTGAAAGCAGCCTTTCCTCTAGTACAAATTTAGTCCAACTACAAAGGCATGACCTTTCTGAGGACTCTGTCCAGTGCTCTGTGTTATGATGAGGCCTCTCTGCTCTGGCTAGCAGAAACTTCCAACTATTACCGGACCCTTGTGAGTGATGGGGACTGTCGGGACCATTGCTTTCTGTTTGTTCTTCCCTTGGTCACACTGACTTTGATCCCACACATCCTGCTCAGAACTCACTTAAGGGGTCAAGGGAACCCTCTGCAGATTTTCGGAGTGCAGTCTCTGTGCAGCTACCTCCTGTTACTTCTCCCCGCAAATTCCAGCCACCGCAACCTTTCTGAACTCTGATGTCTGCCTCCTCAATTCAGTGATATGGGGCGCCTCTGGCTCCCAGCAGATTGGGAACACCCTCAGTGAGTAAGATGGGGGCAATCAACTCTCCTTATCTGTTTCCCTTCTCTCGGGAACTCACAGTTCTGTGCTTCCTGATGTCCAATGTCTGGAAACATTTGTTTTACATATTTGAATGTTTTTCCAGTAGTTTATGGCAGAGGGCAATTCCCATAGCACTTGCTCCTTTACAGGTGGAACTGAAAATCTCTTACCCTAGTTGTTTTCATTTGGGGTTAAATTTCAAAATATCATTTAACTAATAGACGGTGACTTCACTAAAGGTTGCTAGAGACCTTTAAAAGAAAATTGTGTTTGGAGTTAATTCATGAATATTCTTGAGTTTTACAACTCTATCAGGAAGCCAGGCTCTGTCAAGATTTTATGAAAAGCTGAGCTGGGAAGAGATCTTCAAGGTTATTGATCAAGATACAGCCCATTACTTAAGTTAACTCAAAATGGATCGAAGACCTATATATAAGAGCTAAAAGTATAAAATCCTAGAAGGAAATATAGCAGTAATTCTCATGACCTTAAATTTAGCAATGTTTACTTAGATATGACATCAAAAGCACAAGATGCAAAAGAAAAGATAATGGAATGCTTCAAAACTACAAACTTAGAACATGGCACTAGGCCCTTTTTAAAAACTCCTCATTTAAAGTTATTAATAGGTATGTTTGTAACCACTTTACAATTCTGTAACTAAGAATTCATCCAGATAACTGGCATTCAAAAATCTATGGAGTGCATTCATTGTGTGGGCACTTTAGTAAGATTCTCAGTAGGAGGAAATCCTCTGAAAACCTGGGCATATTGAACTTTGGATCTGGAAAGGACTTCTGAGGTTACTCGGTCAACCTCCCCCCTCCCCCAATTCGTTCCCTTTAAGGAGCAGCTAAGGTCTCTAAAGGCTAAGGGACTCAACTAAGGTCATCACATTGAGATCAGATGCGGGTCATCACTTGCCCCAACTGCCTCCTATTTATTAAATTCTGATTCGTACTGCTAATTTTAATGTTTATCCAACCAGTGGTAGAAATGAAATTTTAATGAAAAATAACTATTTCCGAGTCTAAAAAATTGAACCAACTAGGCTTTCAACACTACATGAAGCTATGTGAATCCCAATCTACTGTACAGGAGAATAATGGATTCTTAATTGAAACTGTGCCTTAGAGTGGAAGAATGATTTTTAAATGAAAAACCCCATGGAGGTGGTGATGAGAAATGAGTTTAGCCAGATGAATGATTCTGGCAGAAAATAAGACAGCAAACCAGGCTGGAAAATAGCTTTTTCTTAAAGATCTCAAATATACCAAATGCAGATTAATTTGTGCCCAGTGAACAGTGTTTACTCCCATCTTCCTAGTCCTGGCCCTGTATCTTGTGTTCTGATCCTTGTAGACTACAATCTCCAGGGTTCCATATATGCTCCCCTCTTTTTTTAAAAGTAACTGTATACAGCACAACGTTGGTATTATTAACTTATCTAACAAATGTTCCTGGGAACCTAGGATTTGCCATTCAGCGTTCTCAGACTTCAGTCCTGCGTTTTTCTCCCACCAACAAAACCACCATAAGCTTTTAGGGCTGGCAGAGAACCCAGAAATCATTTAGTCCAATACCACGTTTCAGAGGTAAGAAAACGGAGGCAGAGAGGAAGTACCTGGCCCAGGAAGGTCACAGAGAGTTAATGACTCTAATCACAAAAGTTAAGCATTTTGACAGATTCATGAACTCTTAGGCAGTTCCATCTTCAGCTTTCAGGAGCTTGTAGTCATATTTTGTAGCCTGAAGTGCTAATTAAACCCGAGGAATTATGGACTTACTATTTATAGGTAGGAGTGGAGGCATTAAGTAGGCCATGAAACCTGGGGACACAGGAGATTCTGTCTCCTGAGATTCACATATCTCATTCAACCTTTATATTTTAAGGCAGAACTTCAGCAATGCATAGTTCCAACTCCTCTGATTCTGGACTTGGCCTTGAGCTGCACTTCAGTCTTGGAGGACCACAGCTACTGCAGCCTTCTTGCATTCTGAGATGGGGAACCCCACTTTTTCTGGCAAATATTGCCATTATCCAGTGGAAAGGTTAAAATCAGCCTTCCAAACCGGTCACTTCAAAAGGCTGTATTTCAAACTGTTTTTCTATTATTTCAAGTATTCACCAACAATGTTCAGCCAATATGCTTTCACTTGAGAGTGAAAGGAAAAGAGAAAGGAAACCCACAAAAATGTTTTTAAAAGACACGCCACTTGGATTTATGATTATCTCACATTTTTCTTCTTTTTAACTGTTCAGAATGCCTTTCACTGGATTGCCAAAATCAAATCTCTCTCTGGAGGCCCAGCAGTGTGAACAAAAGCGCTGAAATCAAAGAACTTCCAGGTCTGAATCTGTCAGAGACTGTGGTACTGGGGAAAAAAGTCATTTAACCTCTCTCCATCGGTTCCCACTTCTGTACAATGAGGAAAAAACTATGGAGGTACCTCTCCAGGGCACTGTGTGGATTGGCTAATTAAAGCTAATTAAGCCCCTGGAAAGAACTAGAAAATACTATATAAGTGCCGAGTATTTATGGGCCACTAACAGTCACAAAACTCCTAAGGGACAAGATTCTGTGCAGACAGCACAATCTCTATTGGTGATTACTAATTACCCACTGCTTACAAAGAAAGCATCGGTGTTCTGTAACAAGGCAGGGGAAAGAAATATCACACGATGTCATTCAACAACACCATC